GATGATCTTTGGGGAAGGTGAATAGCCATAGGACAATGGGATAGGTGACAAGAGAGAAAATTGAAACAGGGAGAACTTGAAGGTGAAGATTCAACCTGTATGGAAAAAATACACATACACACACGTACAAATATACACACATATATATATACATACAATATGTATATACATACAATACATATATACATGCATGCATATATATATACATATATATGTGTATATATGTGTATATATATACATGTATGTATATATGTATTGTATGTATATATATGTGTATATATATACATGTATGTATATATGTATTGTATGTATATACATATTGTATGTATATATGTATATATATGTGTATATATATATATATATATATACATGTATGTAATGAATCATGGGAACCTTACAATGGATCTAACATAGTGGGGAGGAAGGAGAGGGTGCACTTGAAGACCACCACATTTGAAAGAGTATAGTATCTCCAAGGACAACATGCTGTTTCAGGACAGGTAAAGCAAAGCTTCTGGCAGCAACCGGCATACAGAAGGATGGGCAGACATGGACCTAAGGATGAGATCACATGACAAATGGGAAAGAGAATGATGGAGCTGGACCTCACAATTTGGGACAAAGGCTAATTTCTACCATGGGGCAATGCTTCTATTCTCATCACTTTCCTCATTAATTGATGCTTCTAAGAGTGAGATGTAATAGGAAGCAAGTGACAATGAGACAAGGTCTATAAAGGCTGATAGAAATTGGTTAGAAGAGGGAGTTCAAAATTTGGTACTTCAGAAGCTTTCATTATAGAAGGAACACAAAGATTAAAGAAGGAATAAATAAGGATAAAGACAATAAATCAAAGAATAAAAACTCTGGAAAGAAGAAGAGAATTAATGAAGAAAACAAGGTAAACAAATCCTTAGAAAAAATTACTGAAAAAGAAAAAACTAACAAACAAAAGAAGTTACAGAAGAAAGGATTTTGAACTAGGTACTTAAATGAGATATGAAAAAAGGAAAAAAGAAGAGGAAAATAAAGTAATAGAAATGAATAAATTAAGTTGAACTCCAAAACTAGGGAAAGAGTTGACAAACAGGAAAGGGCCAGGTGGGGAAAACCCTATGCTAATAGGGTTACATCAAAATAGATTAAGCAGAACTAATCATAGGGACAAAGTAATGACTTAAAAGAAGAGGAAAATACAGTCCTAATTTTAAAAAAAGTAAAGACACAAATTAAGGAAAACATAAACCTAAATCTCATAACGTTACATGTGAATAAATTAAAGAATCCATTAAAATTAAAGAGAGCAACAGATTAGATTTTTTTAAAAGTCACAATCTGTTGGTTACCAGAAAAAAATCTAAAAAGCAAAAACATACATAAAATCAAAATTTACTATATATCAGATGAAGCCAAAAAGTAGGAATTTCATTAGTTTCAGGTTCCTCAGCTGTAAAATGGGGATAATAATAGCATCTATCTCACAGGGTTGTGGAGAGGATCAAAGCAGATAATATTTATAAAAGCACTTAGCACAGTGCTTGGCACATAGCTGTTGTTCAATTGTTTAGCTGTGGCCAACTCTTCGTGACCCCGTGGACCTTACTGTCCACATGACTTTCTTGGCAAAGGTACTGGAGTGGTTTGCCATGTCCTTCTCCTGTGAATTAAAGCAAATAAAGGTTAAGTGACTTGGGCAGGGTCACATAGCCAGTAAGTGTCTGAGGCCAGATTTTAACTTGGCACATAGTAGGTGCTATATAAATGCATACTCCTTGCCCTTATTCCCCTTTCAGAGATGAGCAAATATAACAGAAAGATGATCAAAGGGGAAAATACAGAATTAAACAAATTTTTAGAGAATTTCTCGCTAAAATATTCATGGTTTCTTCTGAATGGGACTACTAGAGTATGTGTTTGTGTGTGTGTATGTGTGTGTGTGTGTGTGTGTGTGTGCATATATCAACACCACATGACATTTTATAAAAAAACAGATCATATATTAAGTCACAGATAATTTGCAAATAAATATAAAAAGGCCGAAATGCTAAACACATCATTTAAACACCTTAATACAATGAAAATCATAATCAATTACAAGAGCACAAACAAAGAAGACTTTAAATGAAGGTTAAATCATGAAATGCTAAATAACAAATGAGTCAAAGGATAAATCAGACAATTAATCACTTTCTGAGACAGTGAGAATGATGAGACACATACCAAAATTTCAGGGATACCGCTAACATTGCACTCAGAGAAAAAATTATATCCCTAAAACTATACACTAACAAAATTTTTAAAAAGAGGGTCAAAGAGCTGAATATGAATTTTTTAAAATTAGAAAGCCAACAAATAAACTGGTAGGTAGGTAACATACTAGATAGAATGCTAGACTTGGAATTAGAAAGGAGTGAATTTGGGGGCAGCTAGGTGGTGCAGGGGATAGAGCACCGGCACTGCATTCAGGAGGACCTGAGTTCAAATCTGGCCTCAGATCAAATACTTAATACTTACTAGCTGTGTGACTCTGGGCAAGTCACTTAACCCCAATTGCCTAAAACTAAAAAAATAAAAATAAAAAAGAAGAAAGGGATGAATTTAAAATCTGCTTCAGACACTTACTAGTTATGTGACCCTGGGCAAATCACCTCACTTCTCTGCCTGCCTCAGTTTCCTGATCTATAAAATGAAGATAATAATAGGGCTGTTGTGAGGATCAAATGAATTAGTGTATTTAGCGCACTTTGCACACTTTAAAGCATTACATGTATGCTAGCTATTGTCATATTATTACATATGTATGTACATAAGACATTTTTCAAGATTTAAAATACCATATAAATGTTAACTAGGAACAAACTTAAAATAAGCCCAAAAGAGTATGTTTGAAAATTAGAGGAGAAATAGGTAGATTGGAAATTTAAAAAAGAAAAAGAACTGATAAAGTTAAAAGCAGTTTCTTTCAATGGATGAACAAAATTGGCAAATCTTCAGTCAACCTGATTAAAAAAGAAGAGTGCAGAAAATGAAATCAACTGAATAAAAAGTGAACAAAGCGAAATCACAATAAAGCTAGAAGAATTTAAAAGAATTATCAGGATAATCAATGGGCTTAGCTGCTACCAAGATCCTCAAATGTACTCAGCATTCTTGAGTAACAGAGATTACTTTCCTCCCAAATCTGATGACAGAGATTTTTCTTTCATTAACATTTATTCCCTTACCAAAGGTCCTCTGATGCTTTTCTGTGGCCTGACAGGTGGCATTCGGTTCTCATAGGACATTGGAAGGTCCTACAAAGCTTAAAAGTTTTGAGCAAATTCCCAGGGCCAGACTGTACTTGCTGGCCAGAACCAGCCTAGTCAAATGTAAAAAGGTTTATTCCCAGAAGTCTGGCCACTAGATGGTCAACTGTTTCCTGGTTTTTACATCAATACTGGTCTCTCCCATTAGATTGTAAGGTCCTTGAGGGCAGGGACTGTCTTTTGCCTCTTTTTGTATCCCCAGCAGTGCCTGACACATAGTATGTACTTAATAAATGTTTGTTGATTGATTAGTTGATCTTCTCCTCCCTTTGTCTGCAATTTGAAGCCAAAACCCCAGTGTAAGAACTTTTCAGAAGACCTAGAACCTCTCTGAACTTGTCTTAACCAGGAACAAACTGACTCTTCTTTTGCAGACCCATACACGTGGCCCACATGTTTGGCATAGTAAGGAAAAGAATGGAAAGAAGAGAGCAAAGCGTATCTTCCCTATCAATTAATCAATCTATCAAGAAGTATTTACTAAGCACCTATTTGATGCCAAGCACTAGCTAGGTGCTGCAGATAGAAAAGCAAAAAGGAAGTTGTGTATGTTCTCAAGAAGCTTACAGACTATAAGAGAAGATAGTATGGATATAAGAATATACAGGATACATACAAAATAAATTCAAGTTAATTTGGGGAAGGAAAACCTTAAGACCTGAGGAGAAGAGGATCAGGAAAGGCTTTTTGTAGAAGGTGGTACTTGTGCTGAAGGAACCAAGTGGTCTGAAGGAAGAGATCTGTGTGAGGTGAGAGAGCATTCCATGCACAAGGGTACCTGTGCAAGGGCAGAGACAGGTATCCCTAGAATCAGGAATTGCTCTCTGGGGGCTTGCTTGCAACTGCTCCCCTTCTTAATTCTCCATCCATCTCCAACTGAGATGCTGAAACCTGCCTGTGTAGACTTAGAGTAGCCTGAGCTCATTTGCATGAACCAGACTTCTGACCTGCTTGGTCTTTCCTGATTCTTCCAGTTCTGGACCATTACCTCTGCTGGGGCTTTTGTATCTGCGAGATATCTCCAGCCTAGGAAGATTCTTACTATTGGGTCCTCTGCACCAGTCCTTTCATCATGGCAGGAAATTCACTAAGGGATCTAGTAAGGAAACTACAGAGTTCCTTTCCTTCAAGAACCGTGAAACCAATCATTACAAATAGTCATTCTGGGCTACTGAAAATTTTGCCACAGAGCTGAAAACTTAAGACTTTGTTGATGGGAAGCATTGAAGTAAAGAGAAGCAAGCATCCTTTCCAGCTCTTTTCTTTATTAATGAAGGGAATGTGGGTGAGTTGTCTTACCTCTTTCTGACTCAGCTTATCCATCTGCAGAGTGGAACAATCATGTCCACTGTGGTCTTCTTAAGAAAGTCCATGGGGAATAGCAACCCTATGATTTGATATTCTGAGCTCTTCTTACTCAGAGGGGCTATATACATAAAGATATCATACTGTCCTGTCCGGCACAGGATGCTAAACCCATCTAATGGTAAATCTTCAGAGTCTCAGCTTTGGCACACATAGTAGGCAGAAAACTAATCAACACCCAGCCTCTATCTATCATCTTCTCAGGCCTCCCAGTGCCTCATTTGCATACCTATCTTTACATTGGCTGACATCTCATGTCTCCTGCAGGCCCATTTATCCTCTGACCTGCCATCACACTCCAAAGGGATATATGGGACCAGTGTGCCTTACCTGTCATTACACTCTGTTCATTTCATCAGGGGCTGGAAACATCAATCTCCCTTCAGTTTTGCCAGTGGCACAGAACATCTCCAGGACTCTGAGGCAAGAAAAGCTGCAAAATCTCTTCTAGTATGTCCCAGTCTGGAGCTTCCTCTCTCTTCCTTCTTCTCTAGCTGGTGCATTTACTCAGGATGTCACAAAGACAGACATTTCCCCAAGTGTTCCCGATTCACAGCCATGTCTGCAGGGACCTGCACAGCACAACACATTCCATCATCAACTCATTTCAGGGGCTCAAGATACATACTTCCAGGCTTTGATAGTTCTTGCTTCTCCCCCAATTCCTCTATTGCCCTAAATAATCTGGTCCCACTCTATCTACTAGCTATTGTTAGGAAGAATTTTCCTCTATATCACATCTAAATCTGCTTTTCTGCACCTTCCACCTATTGCTTCTAATTCTGTCCTCTGGGGCCAAACAGAACAAAACCTAATCCCTCTTCCATGTGTCAACCCTTCAAATACTGGAAGACATCTATCATGTCTCCTGGAAGTCTTTTCTTCTGCAGACTAAACTAAACCTCCTCAGGTCCTTCAACTGATCCAGGCATGGCAAGACCTGGAGAACCTCCTCCATTTTGATTGTCCTACCCTGGCTATATGCCAAGTCATCAGTATCTTTCCTAAAATTAGATGACTAAACTGAATATAATGCTACAGTCGTGCTCTGGATTATTATCATCTCCTTAATCCTGTACAGTATGTCTCTCTTAGTGCAGCCAAACATCTAAATTGACTTTTCTGGCCACCATAATACCCTATGCATTTATACTGTGATTGCTGCTCTTCAGTTGTTTCAGTTGTGGCCAGCTCTTGGTGACCCCATTTGGGGTCTTCTTGGCAAAGATAGTGGAGTGGTTTGCCATTTCCTTCTCCAGCTCATTTTACAGGTGAGGAAACTGAAGCCAACAGGGTTAAGTGACTTGTCCAGGGTCACACAGCTAATAAATGTCTGAGACCAGATTTGAACTCAGGAAGATCAGTCTTTAGGTCCAGCATTCTATCCACTAAGCCACCTAGCTTCCATATATCTATATCTATATCTATATCTATATCTGTATCTGTATCTGTATCTATATCTATATCTGTATCTATATCTGTATCTATATCTATATCTGTATCTGTATCTATATCTGTATTGCTATTGATAGATATAGGTTGCAGTTCACTAAAACCATCAGATCTTTTCCAAATTTCTGTTTAGTCATATACTCTTATTTAATACTTGTGAAGCTGACTCATAAATATAAAATTTTATATTTACCTCATTAGAGTTCATTTGGTTAGATTCAGCTAAATGCTCTAACCTTGTCACAAACTTATTGGACCCTGGTTCTGTCATCCATCATCATCATCATCATCATCATCACCATCTGTAAGGTTTTTGAAATACTTTACAAATATTATCACATTTTATCCTCACAACAACCCTGTAAGATGGGTGCTATTATCATCTTCATTTTATAGATGTGGAAACTGAGGCAGAGAGAGGTTAAGTAACTTGTTCAAGATTATGCAGCTTTGTTAATGTCTGAGGCAATATTTCAACTCAGATCTCGCTGAACTCAGGTCCAGTGTTCTGTCTACTATGCCACCTAGCTGCCAGCTATCTGTCCTAGTTCTGAGTCAATTACAAGTTTGATAAACATGTCACTTATGCCTTTATCCAAATTACTGATAATATGTTGTTTTTTTTAGAAAGCACAGATCTAGCAATAGATCCTTATACCTCTCCATTAGAAACCTCTTTCCAAGATGACATTAAGCTATTAGTCTACTAAACATGGTAAAAGGGCTATGGAGATACCTGTGGAGAGAATACCAGTAATGATGGAAGCATAGTTCATGGGATGATGGAACTTTAGATTTAGAGTTGAAAGGGATCTTAGAGGAAATCTAATCCAAACCTTTTATTTTACAGATGAGAAAACTAAAGTCAGAGATTAAATAATTTGCCTAAGGTCACATTTGAAGATGGTATCACTGGGATTAGAATCCAGTTTCTCTGACTCCAAATCTAGAACTCATTCCAATGCAACCCCCAGGTTCACATATTTTGGATTAATCAATCAATTTGTTGACAAGCATTTATTAAGTCTCTACTATTTGCTAGAGATTGGGAATACAAAGACAGAAATCAAAATAGTAATGTTTGAGGTGAGCTTTGAAGAAAACTAGAGAGTGCAATGAAGGCATGGTAGTCATCCAGAGCAAAGGTAGAGACAGCAGATGGAATGTCATGGGTGAACAACAGCAAAAAAAGCCATTTTGACTGGATTGTGGAGTGCATGAAGAGAGTTAAACTCTAGTTTACCTCTAGGTAAAATTCACATTCCTTTGGCATTTAATGTCCTTCACAACCTGTCTGCCTTCTGTCTCTCTAGACCTATCTAGAGAAAGCCACTAGAGTTTATTGAGCAGAAGAGTCACATGGTCAGACGTGTGCTTTAGGAATATCATTTTGGCAGCCGTGTGAAGGATGAATTGGAGAGGGGAGAGACTAAAGGATACCAATTAAGAGACCATTACAATAATACAGATAATAAATGGTAAACCTTAACTAGGGTTGTAACTGTGTGAGTAGAAAGAAGGTAACAGATAGGAGAGATGCTATGGCAGTCAAATAGCACCATAGTTCCTGGCAAATAGTAAGCACTTAATAAATGCTTATTGACTTGATTCAGCAATTAATTAGACATATGGGGTGAGGGAGACTGAGGAACTGAAGATGGCTTTGAAGTTGGGAACCAGAGTTTTTGGAATGATTGTGGTATCCTAAATATAAATTTAAAAATATAGAAGAGTGGTGGGTTTTGGAGGAAAGAGAATGAGCTTTGTTCTGGACATGTTGATTTTGAGATGCCTACAGGCAATTCAGGTCAAAATGTCAAAATGATGTCACAGGCCTGAGACTTAGGAGAGAAACTACGCGTGGATTATCTGCATAGAAATGATAATTAAACTCAGGGTAACTGAAGATATCAGCAGAGGGGGAATATAGAAAGAAAAAAGGCACCAAGACAGAGCCTTGTAGAGCACCCACAGTTAGGGGAGCATTCTATAGGTGATGATCTAGCAAAAGAGGCCGAGAGTGATCAGACAGATTGAAAAAGAATGAGGAGACAATGGTGTCATGAAAACTGGAGTGGAGAGAGCAGCAACAGCGTCAAATGTTGTGGAAAGGTCAAGAAGAGCTAGAATTGAGAAAAGGCTGTCAAAGATAGCATTGAGAGATCACCTGTAACATTGGAGAGGGTAGTTTTAGTTAAACAATCAGGTCAGAAGCAGATATGTTTCTGGAGCCACCTCTAACTGGCCCTTAAGAACATAATGGATGCAAATGAGGGCTTGATTTTTTTTGTTGTTTTTGATTATCTAGAATTAAGAAATTGTTAATAATGCAGATTAGACTTAATCAGTTTGTGCATGCACTTTTTTCCTGGAGAGCCCTGGTGGTTAAACATTTACCAGCACACCCCTGTATTGCTCTATCATCATTGCTTCAGCAGGAGAGCGGCTGAAGGCTCAGGGAATGAGGTCATCACCAGATTGGAGGCCTGTTGACTGATGACACGCAATAATAATAATAACAATTATAATTAAAATAATAGCCATTTACATAGTGCTTTAAGGTTAGCCAGGCTTTGAATCCTTTATCTCATTTAAGCCTCATAACACCACTAATCAGAATCAAATTTGCAAAGGGAGGAGAAGTGAATAGGAGTAAAGTGAAGGGACCAAGAATAGATAAATTTTTTTAGGTGTTTATGAAGGGAAGGAGAGATATAGGATGATAGCTTAAAAGCAGGGGTGTCGAGTGAGGGTTTTGATTTATTGATCAAAACTCACTTTATTGCTTCTTTATACATTTCAGCTATAGCTTGCTTCTTGAAGGATTGGGGGGGGGAACCCCTTTTTTTTAATGCATGCCAACACTTCACTCCCCAGAGTACCAGGTTCATAATAGTTATTCAACAGGCAGACTGCAAATTTGTGTGAGTCAGGAACAGTATTTTATAATTATTTTGTATATCTTCCACAGTACCTAACAGACTGAGCTGGCACCAAGAAATGTTTTTTTGATTTGTTGAAGTTTTCTTTTTTTCTTACAAAATCCCTTGATACAAACTTATTTTCAATTCTAACCTGAGATTTCAGAAAAAAAATATCATCTCAAAGACATAAGAGAAACACAAATGAGGAATTTGCTGGTATCCCTTAAAGAAATATTTCCTCATTATTCTTTTCTTCAGGGGCTAAAGGTAAATACTCTTGTCCTGGTGTTCTGTCTTGCTACTTTTGGGCCAACAGGTAAGTTTGCTGTCTGTCTCCTTTCCCCAGCTAGAGTGTACATTCATGTATGTTCCCTCAGGGCAAAGATGATTTCATATTTATTTTTGCCAAAGTGACACCGTACTGCTAATGTAGGCAGGTGTACAGTGAGTTCCTGATTATCTGGTGGGAGGGGTGGTTGTACAGGAGAAAGGCATGAAGAAGGACCTGATACATTTCTACTTCTGGTCATGCAAGGAAGACTTGTTTTATTTTGCCTCACAAAAATTTCCAAATGTTACTTTGTATTCCAACAGAAGAAGAGAAGGAAGTTCAAGGAACAAGAGAAGAGCTAAGCAGTCCAAGAGACAAGTTATATCATTCTCTCATGCAAAGACCACTGTTGGATATGTGCTTTTTTTTTTTTTTGGTGAGGGTAACTAGGATTATATGACTTGCCCAGAGTTACACAGCTAGTGTGTGTTATGTGTCTGAGGCTGGATTTGAACTCAGGTCCTCCTGACTCCAGGGCCAGTGCTCTATTCCCTGTGCCACCTAGCTGCCCCTATATGGTGTATTTTTAACTGCTTGCCATGGAACACACTATGAAAATTTGTGTACAAACCACATTAGGCAAATCCTGAAGATCTGAGAATAAATATATCAAATGCCAATCTCGGAAAAAAAAAAGATCACTTAGTAAGGGGAGTTACTCAGAGCTACTGCCATAACCAAGGACATTTCATTGAATGGAGGGTGAGGGAGGAACTTTTAGGGTTGAGGAAAGCATCAGGCAGTGTCTGACTATTTTATTATACATTGTGTTCTTGTTATTTCATATTGTTTGTTTGCTTATGGCATCTATGCTGAGAATAAATATCTAAGCATGCTCATGCTCTGGGGAAATGGAAAATACTAA